AATTACAGTGAAAGCAATGAAGATTTTGTAGGTTTTGAACTAAATAACAGTAAACCTTTTTTTGATTTATGGTATTTTTCTTATTTTGATGTTTTGAGCTCTTTTGTGTTTAGAACAATTTTTTCTAATTTTTAAATTTTTTTTTGTTGGAAAAGTAATTGAATGAAGACTTACAAATCAGGATAGGAAGTAAAACACAAAAGTAAGAAGCAGGGAACGAATTATAAAGCGAAGGAAAGAAACATACCTAAGAAACCTAGTCCCAAAATCACAAGAAAGACTTAGGTAGATTCAAGACAGCATGGGTATAAGAGTAGGTCATGGGGAAAACCCAGCAAAATCCCTTCAGTCACAAGTGAGAAATATAAACAGAGGTGCATCAGGTACAAAAGAAGGTCCAGGCCACATGAAATATTCCACCACCCACTGCCCAAAATTCATCACTTCTCCCAACAGACAATGACAAGCCTGATGCCAGTGTAGTTGTTAGACTAACATGAAGAATGTCTTGTTATCTCACACCAAACAAAGTGGACGATACTGACATTTATGAAATAACAATGTGCAAATTAAAGGCCCTAAAACCCACATGTGCAGAAATGGTGGAAAACAAAAATATAACAATAAATACTTCCACAACATGAAATATCTTTGGAGATACTTCCACTAAAAAAAACCTATATCTGAAAATTTTCCAAGCGATAAAAAGATATGTCATTACACTCATTCTCATTCTAGGCTGTGTCCACCCACTGCAAGGCATAGCCTTCCACCAACGACGTCAAGTCTGTCTATCTGCTGCTTTCCTCGGCCATATGATGCTCTCTTTCTCTATGATGTCATCACGCCATCTTTTGTGTGGTCTATTTCTCGATCTTTTCCCTCTATGGGTCTGCCATTCTGTGATTCTTTTTATCCATCTGTTGTATTTTAATCGAGAAATGTGTCCAGCCCATTTCCATTTTGATTCTGCAATATACTTGGAGATGTCTCTTGCCCCAGTGTTTCTTCTGATCTATGAGCACAGTATTCTGGAGCTTGATCTTTACCATCTTTCTTTTCATTGCTCTTTGTGTTGTTGCAAACTTGAGTTAAGCTGTTTAGTGAGTGTCAATTTCATTATATATATATTCTGGTTAAATAACTCAGTACTTCCTTGCCACTTAGTATTAGTACATCACTCATTATCCCACCTATCCCTTGTGATTTTCTCTTCTTTATTTGTTTCATTGCTCTTTCCACTTCATACTCAGTTATTGGTGGTACTTGCTCTGTGTCTGGACTTGTTTTTACTGTGTTTGTCTAGTTGGTGACTGTTGACCAGTACAAATTTTTGTAGAAGTTGGAACAAATTCCCAACACTTCTGTTCTTTCTGATGTGATCTTCCCTGATGATGTGTGATTTTTCTTTTGGATCCACAATTGTATATCTCCTTTGGTCCAGTGCCTTTCACTAACATTTCTTCAATCATTTCTTTTCTTTTGTGTCTTGCTCTCGTTCTTCTTTCCTTCTTGACAATTTTGTTCAGTTCGGCATATTCTACCCTTTCTCTTGCTGTTTTGTTCTCTTTTCTTCTTAACTCCTTTTTTTTTAGTATCTAGTTCTTCAATGTCCTTGTCTGCATCTGACCTGTTTTCCCCAGATTTTGCCACTGTGACTTGTACTGTCCTTATTTCTTCCTGTAGGATTGTAGTCAGAGTTTCTGGAATTGGCTGTTCCTCACTAAGTGCTTCAAATCTGTTTTTCAGCTGTAGTTCGAATGTCTCCTTGTATCTCTCTCTATCATTTGTATATTTGTTTTTAAAGATTTATTTCTCTGGATTCTCTTTAGATGTACCAGTCTCTTGTCCAGTTTTGATTTCCATCTCACCATTCTGTGGATGCTTCCAATGTCTACGTTTGTTATGACGCAGTTCTAAATGATGTTCCTTGTAGAGGTTAGTAAAAAGTCTATTTGGTTCATTGTGTTTCCATCAGATGACTCCCATGTCAAGTATCTTTTCCTGGCTTTTTCAAAATATGTGCTTCCTGCTATGATCAAATAGTTGGCTTCCACAAATTGTATTAGCCTCTTTCATTTCTCTCTCAGATTTCAAATGGTCCCATACATCTAACATTTTCCTTCTTATTTTTGATCCCGATCTTCACATTGAAGTTTCCCATAATTATGTGGTATGTGGTGTTTTCTATTTTCTCATATAATTGATCTATCTCTTCATCATCAACATCTGTATTACCTGGAGTGATGTATTGTCTTGAAGTTTCAGTCTGCAGGATATAATTCTGTCTGAGTATGTTTCAAACCTTTCAACGTAGTCTTTTAGTCTTAGATGAATGCTATACCTTTTTTCATTTGTGTTCTCTTCTGTTCTTCTGATCTCATAGATCCATATGCCTCCCATTAGTTCATCAAGTTGCTTAGTCTGACTATGTCCCAAGAGATGTTTCTTAGCTCCTCGGTCAGTCTTTTTAAATCATCTTCGGCTCTACTTGTTCTTGTGTTGTATGTACATAAGATGATTTTGGCAGTACTACTTTTCCCTCATTTGGCCTTACAACTCCCCTTCAGGTTTGGTTGTGTTGTATGTACATAAGATGATTTTGGCAGTACTACTTTTCCCTCATTTGGCCTTACAACTCCCCTTCAGGTTTGGTTGTGTTGTATGTACATAAGATGATTTTGGCAGTACTACTTTTCCCTCATTTGGCCTTACAACTCCCCTTCAGGTTTGGTTGTGTTGTATGTACATAAGATGATTTTGGCAGTACTACTTTTCCCTCATTTGGCCTTACAACTCCCCTTCAGGTTTGGTCGTAATGCGTCATTGAGAGATACCTTCTCTGAGCTATAAGTTGTTTGTGCCTTTTGCTCTTCAGAGCCTCGTGCATTACAGCCTTCCTTTTGTTTCTTCATCTCATTCTTTGATGGCAATTTCACCTACCATCAATGTATTGGCCAGGCATGCTGTTGATGGGTTTCTTTGTGGAGGTGTTCTTCCAGTAGCCTTCATGTCATTACACACAAGTGCCAAATAAGGAAGTGGTGATTGAACAATCAGTATAGGAAGTCAGCTATGATAGGAGGGTGTGTCACACTGCTATTGGTGGAGGGTGCATCACCATTTGCATGTTACAGCACATCAGTATCACATGGAAACACATAAGTTTTAGAGCCTCGGGGCTAGTGACCAGAAAAAAATTGTGCAAATTGAGGACAGTACAAAATTGAAGAAAGCTATTATGTGTAAGAAGGTAAGGTCAGAATTACCACTTTTTTGAAAATTATTTATAAAAATTAAATACAAAAAAAATAATATAATAATATGATCATGAGACTACAAATTTCACATTAATAGTATTATCAAACAGGCTAACAGCAACCAATATTTCAACTTATAATTTTCTGAGCATCTAGTACTATTAAATTGATCAACATTAAAAACCATATTTTATAGAAAGAGAACACTATATAAAGATATATTGTATGTATGTATGTATGTCATTAAAATATATGACATAACAATACCTACACAAATAGTTGATTGTACCAAAGTCATTAACAAAGCAAAAAATAAAAATCTTACTACAAGTAATTGTTTTTCAATACTACAATATCTTAGCTCCAATAAACTGTAAACACTATAAGTATACGTATATAAAGAGGAAACATTGTTTTATGTTCACAACTTATATTCAGAAGTTGTTCAATAAAAACTATTGCAGTAACATATTTAAAAATAAAGGTTTTTTTTGTTTGCAAATGATATTAGATGTTGAAAAGAATTAGATTATTATCACAATAACAAAAATGAAAACAGTTACAGGTTATCATAAAGTCAGTGGTTTGGGGCTAAGATTTCTATTTACTGAACGAGATCATGTAAAATACTGCAAGTGAAGACAGTATTTAAACTTACCATGTAACTTGTGGTTTTGGGTTGCCTGTAACTTTACAAACGAATTCTGCACTCTTGTTTTCTACAGCCACAATCTGCCGGAGTGGGACAATAAATTCTGGTGGACTTGAAGCTGTTTTATGTTTAAGATAAAAAATATTTATAAAGTTGTTTTGTCACATTAAAAGTAATTAATTATTTGGAATACTTATTTTGATAGAAGTTTTACTAAACTTATACTTTTTTTTTAAGTTACACTATAGAATCTTATTATCTTTGAAAGTTTTATACAAGGACATTTTAAGTGTATAAATAAAGTAAAGAAATTACTCAATGGGTCTTTGATCTTAACAGAAGATGAGTTTACTGATGGGGGACTAATGCCAGCTTCATTCACAGCAAACACACGGAATTCATACTGTCTATCTTCAATCAAGTTTGAGATGTTGATTTGGGTTGTAATGCAAAGGAACTGGTTAACCCGCTGCCACGTCTGAGTGCCATGTTCCCGTTTATCTATCCAGTAACCCTGTATTCGGGCACCACCATCTGATTCAGGTTTCTCCCAAGAAAGATTTACAAAATCACCACCAACCTCTGTTACAGTTGGCACTCCTGGTGCAGAAGGTGGATCTAGAGCAAATATAAAGTGTTAATTATATAAGTTATTATAAAGTATACATATGTTTTAATTCCAATAAAAAAATCGTTCATTAAGTCAAATAAATCTCTTAAATTTGTAAAATGTTATTAATTGTTTTGCATTTAAACTTCCTCTATAATTCAGCAAATACTATGAAAGAATACTATGTTTTCGAAGGAAAATAACTTGAATAATTATTTTTTAATCATATATATATATAATAGTTAAAAAAATACATAATAATGATGTACATTAAAAACAATGTGATGTATTAAATAAAAGCAATAAAATATTATGCTCATTATGAGTCATAAAGATTCAAGAAATTTTCATTATAAAAGTAAAATCCATTTAAAATTTCATTATCATGAATAATGTGATAAAGATCATCTTTCATACAACTTAAAGTTTTTTATACATTTTGGAGACTATTCCATTTAAACTACTATTACTTACCAAATGGATTTTTGGCAATTATTGGATTAGTACCCTCTAGTGGCAAACCCTGTCCATTTTCATTAACAGCCATTACACGGAAGAGGTATTCTCCACCTTCTGTTAAACCTTGAACTGTACAGTTTGTATCCTGTTGATCAAATTAACACCAATCTTGTTAAATGTTCCATTTAAATGCTTCTATTTCATCACTATCATTGGAGTACTAGAAATTACCACATGGAAGTAAGATTTGGTACATTTTTCAGTGTAAAACTTATGTTTATAGATATATTTACAGCTTAAAATATAAATTAGTACAAAATTTCTATTTTAAGTAAACTATTTATATCTCAAGCACCTTCCAATTTTGATAATTCAGATATAATTCAAATACGTAAGTGTTTTTACCTTAGAATGTCTATAGCTTTTTAAATTTACCTCCCAAAACAGATAAAAAAATGTGATATTTCAAAACCTGCCTTGATGGGACTCTACACTCCAGCCTCTTTGAAATCCTATCTGGATGTCTTTGGGTGGATGCTTATCCCATCAATCTTGATGTTTACCCATGGCCATTAATGCATACTGTCACAAGATTACTAGTTTTCCCTCACGGTATTTTTCTTCATCCACATGCCCGTTCCAGACCATAATAACCCATGAACTTTCATGGGTAAAGCAGAAGGGGAATGCTGCCCATCCCTGCCATTCCTTTGATTGAATAAATTAGGGGTGGTCACCCATTTCACCGTGTTAGCATTCCTCCAAAGATTCCACTGTTTCTTGCCCCAATTTCTTCTAGTGGAGTATGAGAGTCCTTGCCACTTTCCAGTTCTGAGCCACAAGGGTGGTGAACCATGGAGGTAACCTTTTGAATGTGCTCACTTCCATTCAGTAGAGAGTGGGACAGTGGTGTTCTGCCGGTGTAGATGGCATTGATTATCCAATCGTGCACTCCATCTCTGTGCGGTGGATCCTGGAGATCGATGTTGCGCACCCAGCTTCTGTGTGGTCTTATCCAAGGGATGATGTTGTATATATATCACAATAGTATATTCCATTAATTCGAGTAGATCTGCTAATGTTGCAGTTCACCCCTCTGATTGGGATCACCAATCCTACAAGTGACTGGATGTTGTTTCTCAGTGAGTGGTTTTGGATTAAAGCTAGAGCAGTCAACCTTAAACCTCACATGTGTTGATCGGGATTCCTCATCTTACCATAGTCATGGGTTTTGGGCTCATTTACTCCCCCTCTGTTTGGTGGGTCCCAGAGGTTGATGTTGTGCAGATCAAGTTTGATTTGCCCCAGCTCTGTAGTTGCTCAAAGTGTCAGCCCATCATCCATGTATTCCAGCTTTTGTGTGGCACTATTCACAGGATGATGTTGCACAGAGTGAATGTTGTCCCTCTGGCATTCCATTTTAGGGAAGTTCACTGCCTGAGGTAGATGTTGCATACAGTGGAAATGGCCCAATTGGTTTTGGATTGGAGGTGAACTGCCACATTGGCACATCCCTTCCAACCACTGTTCGGAACTTGGGTTCCAAGATGACTGGTGTTTCTTGTGGGTTTGCACACGTGTGCCCTGTTTATTCAGCTGGTATGGAATTTTTATCTTTTCATTCTACTTAACTTGAGGTGAAGATGGTGTAGATCCCCTCCTAGCACGGATCAGATTATGTATGCCTTATGCTGCCGGACTGTGGCCTGAAGTTGACCTGTTGAGTGTAGTCTGATGCTCCCTAGCCACTTTACACAAAGGGGCACATCCATTTTAAGTTTTCCTACCATTTGATCTGTGGCTGGGAGCCCTCCATTCATTCTTATCCTGGAATACAATTCCAGTGATTTCAATGGGATGTGGGGTCAGTACCACTTCCCACCCTTCTTCCTCCACTTAAAACCAGTGCTTAATTTCTGCCTAATCTCAAAGGTTAGGTAAAATCAAGTGCATCAGGAGGGTGTGTCACACTCCTAACGGTGGAGGGTTGTTGGATGAAATTTACATGCAAAGATGCAATGAACCACATTGATCATGAGGTAGGTGGGAATTTTCTAGGCTTGTGGCACGCAAAAAAAAATTGCATATAGAGAGCAGCAGTGAAGGAAAATAGCTATTATGTGAGGAAATGTTAGTACCTAATGGAAATATATTTTCAGTGTAGGAAAATAATAACTTTGACTATTATATCTTAATATTTAAACTAACAACAGCCATTAACTGTTTTACTTGACAATTAGTGATGACTTAAACCAACAAGTCAGTAACTTACATACCTAATATTATTACTTAAACCCACAACAGCCAACAATGGGCTCACCTGAATGTAGCTTCAGACTTAAAGCAACAATGGCTTCTGAAAGATATACTAGAAAGTTGCCTGTGACTAAATACAGCAAAAGGCTTAGATGAACTTACCCTACTGTAGCTTGTGGCTATCACCCACTGACTATGACTAGTTTCCTTTCTCTCCACAACATAATGTGTGATTTTGGAGCCACCATCATGAGCTGGTGGTCGCCAGGAAAGTGATGCCGTATGCTGTGTGATATCAGAGACCTCTAGTGGTCCTTCAGGTGGTCCAGGAAGACCTTTAATATATAAAAAAAAGTACAATTGACATACAAATAATCTTTCAAAGTAGCAGCTACATATTTTTTAAATTAAAATGATCAAGATGTTTGAAAGTATGGCGATACTGATTTTCAGATAATAAATACAAAATTATATCATACCAATTTTCTCAACTAGTTGAATTATACTGTAGACTGTTATAATGATATGCCTCAGTTTAAGATACTAAATAGTGTTTTAATATATATTTTGACTGCAATTTTTAGACATACTTAGATGCATGTTTCAGTGTTATATGGGTGTCGTAAACATACATACTTGCTAACTATACGTGTAGAAAAATTGTATTCATTTTTATTGATGTAGCACCTATACTTTAATTAACCATAAAAGAGCTATTTACTTTATCCTCTACACCCACCTGTAACAATCATAGAGAAACTGGCATCTGCCACTCCACTTTCATTCCTTACTGTTAGCTTGTACTTGCCCTCATCATTCTTCAAGGCTTCTCTCAAAAAGATGATGACATAATCATCAAAAATGGTCATTTTCATATGTTCATTCTCATTCACTTCCAGTCCATGCTTAAACAAATTCACTTCAAATGGTCCAGTTCCAGAGAAGAAAATCTTCACTTTTCCATTATCATGTTCAGGGAAGCAGACTTCATTAGGACATCTTTCAATCTTTGGAGGAGCTATGAAATTAAAAAAAAAAAGAATATTAAATCTTTGGTTCCGAAATAGAATCTTGATACAAAAGCTTTTAAACATGTTAAAAGTATGATCACCAAAGTTATGGTCAAAAACATTGGTTCTTTGTCTTTAACTTATAAACACATTAGTGTTTCATGTCGTGTCTTTGATGTACAGTTCTTATAAATACATTAGTGTTTCCGTATTTATAAGGACTGTACATCAAAGACACGACAGCATATTTTTATGGTGGTTCAAAAGCAAAATACCTCAAACTATAATACATGTAGGCCTAAATTTTATGATATAAATCACTTAAACTGCATGGGTTTTTTTTCCCACATTCCTCATAATATGTCAATTTTGGATTCAAAATCTTAGAATTGTTAAAAAAAACTTTCAGCATTTAAATTATAACTTATAATACATGTAATTCAATATTTCTAATGTGTTATCTTAAATATACATCTCTTCAGCCTTTTTTTAAAAAAGTTATGTAAACATTATTATGGTTTTTGAGCTTAATGTATTATAGAAATTATAGAGATTTTACTGTTTATAAGGACTGTACATCAAAGACACGACATGAAACACTAATGTATTTATAAGGACTGTACATCAAAGACACGACATGAAAACTAATTTTGTGGAAACAGTTTTCCTGATGCCTTATGTATCTCCTTTTAGTTGCAGTTGACAGTAAACTCTGATGAATGTCTTTGAAAATCAGATCAAAGAAATGGTCTTTGTTAACAAAGTTCCTTCTAAACTGACCTATCATAAATCAGAGATATCCTAGTTTTTGCCTATTGTGTTATGGACTAACCATAAAAACGACTACATTTGTAGGACCTGACACATCAGTCTATTTTGCATGTTCAATTAAATGGAGTATTTTTAAAATGTGCGTGTGAGGTCCTAATAAAGTATCCAGACATGCAGCATACATTATTCTACTGTACTGTTGTCAATTATGCAAAAACTAAGAAAGATTGAATATGTTTACAGCTACTTTTGTTTTACTGAATTATTTCAAGTCATCAAATCTTGAGAATCTAATAGACTAACAGTACAACCATATTTACTTTTATATAACATTAAATGTTCTTACCTGCAACTTGATAGAGAGTGATAACTTAACACAGAAACTGTTTTACTCAATGCTAATTACACAAACATGTAATTTCTTACACTATGATAGGTTTAACTTACTATCGCAGTTTTGTAATTTAAATACTGTAACCTGCAACACCTTAGATATTAGATATTATAACTGTTGTTCACTTCCTCAGTCAATGAGAGAAAAAATGACTGGGTGGACTTGTAGAGTACAACAAGGTCACAATGGGTCCTAATATTCCTTCTACAATGGTCAAGATTTGATTATGTCCAACCATACCATATGAAGAACATCAGACAATTTGCTACATGGCATTTGATTTACATATCTTGATTTGAAAGCATATCTTCAATAGTTTTATAGTACAAAGTGTGGATAATGAATAACATTATGTGATCTAATGGGTCACATTTCCTTACTGATGGGAAAAAGCACAAATAGAGAGTGAACTAAATGAAGCATTTGACTTCACAATTGTTTCAACAGTGTGCAGGAAGTGTAAATGATCTAATGAACCTTATTTTTGGAAGGGTGAATAACTACCAGAATTTGCTTGAACAATTTTGCTGATCTTGTATGACCAATAATATTGCATTTCAAGATGATAATGTTTTACTCCAAGACTATTGGATTGAAGTTTAAGAAGTAAAACACATACCCGCTACATTAAGTCTTGCAGTACATCTGTCTGAGCCTAGAGAGTTATTGACTTCACACGTGTAATCTCCATCATCTGTGTCCCAAACTTCTGTAATTTGAAGCTTATAAACTCCATCCTCTTTTTCTAGAGCTTTAATACGTCCTCCTGGATGAATTTCTCGTCCATTCTTAAACCTGATGTTTAAAAATCTTGCATAAGTCTAAGGTTTTGAAATTCGATTAAAGAAACATGATTGTAATTAAATAATTATTAACATTAGATTTGACAAAGAAACCTTTAAATAGACAATTTTGGCAACGGCAAAGTTTTACTGTCATTCTAATTAAAGATGAAAAAATATATTTCTAAAAGAATTAGTTTGATAACTTAAATCATTATGGGATTACACCAATCTAAATTTTAACTAAAAATGGAAAACAAAATCTACTTAATTAATGTATAACAGTTACCCACATGTAAAACTGTTAGCATATTTGTAGAATCAAAAGTGATACAGAAATTATGAATGGATTAAATTTTAGGTATAATAAAAAATCATAAAAAAATAAAATAAAATGACACAATAAAACATCTTACCACTGAGCTACAGGGTGTGGTTTACCAATTGCTTCACATTCCAGTGTCACAGACTTGTTAAGATTGGTATTCTTATTCAAAAGCTTTCTGACAAATTCTGGCTTAACACCATCTACAAAAATTCCAATAAAATGCCCAACTTACAATTCTTCTTAAAAGAATAATCAAACTTGTTGTAGTTAGGTAATAATAATAATAAGTAATGATATAAAATATTTAAATGTTTCATTTTAATACTAATAAATTGAAGAATATTCTAGCCAGTGTACTTATGCATATTCATGTTTTGGTACTAATTTCCAGCTAGGAATATGTACATTGGGAGCAAATATTAAATGAAAGATGAGTGAAAATTAGTATTACGAATAATACTTTTATACAAAAACGTTTTTCACACATAGATAAATAGAAAGATACTTAATTTCAAATGACAGACAAATTAAAATATCTAAAAATAATTTGCTTTCAATAGCCTATCAATGTTTAAAAGGGATACAAATGAAAAATATGTATTAAAAATATTTGTTAAACTACAAATATCTTGGCAGTGAAAAAAGTACAATGTGAAGTATAGGTGAGTAAATTTATCATTCATTCTACATAAAACTTTTAAACTTTATCACAGTTAAAGTACCACTCACATCTTTTGACAAACAGATCAGAATATCTAAAACTAGCTTAATGAAAAATTGCTTTCAGTAAAGTTGTAGTATTGAAGAAATGGCAAGAATTTCATTAGAATGGAACTACTTAGAAGAGAGACATTTAATACCTGAAAATTCTTGGATTTTCACCGGTCCAGATGTCATTACAGGCTCACTCTTACCAGCAGCATTCACAGCAAAAACTCTGAAGTCACACTCACTACCCTCTGTAAGGTTCAAGACTGTGTACTCACAGTCAATAACACTGTAATCATTAGCTTTGAACCAGAAAGAGCTGCCTTTTTCTCGTTTCTCAACGATGTATCCTACCAAGAAAATGTAAGTAGAGAATGTATAGTTTAAACCATAACTTCTTCATATAAAACTAAACATAACATAACTTTTAAAGCGATTCTAACTTTTAGAAGCAATTTAAATTAGTTCTTTGTAACACTGCCAAACATCTACAAGGAAGTTTAACATATTTATCATGGAATTTTATTTATCTCTAAAAGAAAGTACATTTATATAGGTGTTAAATTTCATTATAATTAGTTTGTTTGTTATTAAGCACAAAGCTACACAAAGGGCTATCAGTGCTCTGCCCACCACGGGTATCGAAACCTAGTTTCTAGCAATATAAGTCTGCAGACATACCACGGTGCCACTGGGGGGCTCATTATAATTAGCAGAAGTGTATGGTTGCCCAAGTTCAATTGAATTTCTTTTCATAGAAAAACTATGAGATATAATTTACTAAAAACATATTTTTATTTGCTGTAAATACTGTGAAGAGATAACCTAACTACTCTGATTATGGTTTTCACCCAAACATGATACACAATAATTCCATATTACAATAAAGAATATTTCTGAAATAAAGAATATGAATTACTTTTCCTAAAATATTGAACTACAAGGTATTTGTAAGTATAAACAAATAGCTACATATTAAGTTTCACCTGTAATCTTGCTGCCTCCATCAGACTGTGGCTTGTCCCACTTCAGATCTACATAGCTTCGTCCAACTCGTGTGACCTTCAGGTTTTCAGGTGGAGATGGTGCAGCTGAAAAAAAGGTAAAACATTTATATATAAAATTTCTTTAACATTAGAATAATATAATCATATTAAGAAGTTAAAGTTTTTATTGAAATAATACACGAATGTGTCATAAAAACTGTTGTTTTGAAACACTTTGTTTTTATTAATCACTTGTTGAATTTCTTGGTTTGTTTTATAGCAAAGCCTCAATGGGCTTGCTGCTGTTTCCATTGCAAGGAACTGAATGTTGAATTTTAGCATTGCAATTCTGTCCCAACAGGTGGCTTATTGTTGAAATAACCGAGAAATGTGTCACAAAATTGATATTTTAAAACATTTACTTTTTAATTATATACTTTCCTTTAAATATAAATGAGTATGCTAATGATGTACAATGAATAAATATTCTAATAAAATTTAACTGACGTGTGACTAATACCGTTTAGCGTATAAACTTCCTGATCTAACTTTAGTGGTATAGTGGCTTCACACAATATCAAATTCATAACTTTTATTTCAGTATTCATATGTGAATGATCAATCTTCAGTACAATATAGCATTTTAGGTCTTTTCATGAAGTTGATAAATTTAAATAATTTAGAATTATTTATTTAAAATGGTATCATTTAAATACTTTCAAAAATAAGTTGTTTACCCACAAATTTTAAAGGTGTGTTTAAATTTCAATGATGTAAAAAACAATGTAATGTAAAATAAGATTACATTTTTGTTACTTTTCTGTTATATAAGATAATGTAATCCAGAACTTTATTTTTTATATGGAATGAATTTTTTTTTTTGCTGTTGGCTGTAGATAACACATAAGCCTACGTTTTTTTTTACTAATGATAGTAGTGTACTAAATTTTTATTTAATTAAATAATGCACTGCATAACATAGAATAATAACATGTAAAGAGCATGTTATTATTCTAATAATTGTTG